GCTCGGGCCCCCCGCCGCCGCCGCCACCACCACCACCGACTGACCGGGGGGGGGCCCCGGCAGCGCCCCCTTCGCAGGTGCGCCAGAACTACCAGCAGGCCGGCGAAGCCGCCATCAACCGCCGGATCAGCCTGGAGCTCTGCGCCTCCTACGTGTACCTCGGCCCGGTCCCTGCTCGCCTGGAAGCCAGGCAGTGTCATCCCAATGTGCAAAAAGGGCGTGAGGGAAAATCCAGAGAACTGCAGACCTGCGAGTCCAACCTCAGTGCCTGGAAGAATTACGGAGAAGGTTATACTGGGTGCTGTTGAAAGGCGTTTAAAGAATGACGCAGTCATGGGGCACAGTCAGCGTGGGTTCAGAAAGGGAAAGTCCTGTTTAACTGATTTGACATCCCCATCCTGTGATGGTCGCCTGCCTCGTGGACAAAGGGAAGGTGGTGGATGTGGCTTTTCTGGATTTTAGTAAGGCTTTTGATACTGTCCCTCACAGCGTCCTTCTGGACAAGGTGTCCACCTGTGAGACGAGCTGGTTCACGGTGCGCCGGGTGAAGAACTGGCTGAAGGGCAGAGCTCAAAGGGTTGTAGCGAGTGGAACCGCATCTGGCTGGCGACCGGTCGGGGTTCAATTCCAGGGCCGGTTCTGCTCAAGGTATTTATCAACGCTCTGGATGCGGGAGTGGAATGCCCCATTAGCAGGTTTGCTGATGATGCTGAACTGGGTTAGGGACAAGAGGCCTTGCAGAGGGATCTAGAGAGACTGGAGCACTGGGCTATGATTAACGGGACGAAATTTAACAAGTCGAAATGCCGGATCCTGCACCTGGGACGGAGTAACGCCGGGCACAAGTATAAACAGGGAGAGGAGTGGCTGGAGAGCAGCCCTGCAGAAAGGGACCTGGGGGTGCTGGTCGACAGCAGGCTCAGTACGAGTCAGCAGCGTGCCCTGGCAGCCAAGAGGGCAAACCACATCCTGGGGTGCATCAAACACAGCATCACCAGCCAGTCAAAAGAGGTGATTATCCTGCTGTATTCAGCAGTGGTGTGGCCTCACCTTGAGTACTGTGTACAGTTCTGGGCCCCACAATTTAAAAAGGATGTTGAGGTACTTGAATGTGTCCAGGAGAGGGCAACAAAGCTGGTGAAAGGGCTGGAAGGCATGTCCTATGAGGAGCAGCTAAGGACTTTGGGTTTGTCTAGTTTGGAGAAAAGGAGGCTGAGGGGGGACCTCATTGCTCTCTACCGCTTCCTGAGGAGGGGAAGTGGAGAGGGAGGTGCTGATCTCTTCTCCCTGGTATCCAGTGATAGGACATGTGGGAATGGTTCAAAGCTGTGCCAGGGGAGGTTTAGACTGGACATTAGGAAGTATTTCTTTACCGAGAAGGTGGTCAAACACTGGAACAGCCTTCCTAGAGACGTGGTCGATGCCTCAAGCCTGTTAGTGTTCAGGAGGCATTTGAACAACACCCTTAACAACATGCTTTAACTTTTGGTGAGCCCTGGATTGGTCAGGCAGTTGGACTAGATGACCCTTGTAGGTCCCTTCCAACTGGAACTATTCTATTCCATTCTATTCTATTCTATTCTATTCTATTCAGTGGTTAAGCATTGGAACAGGCTGCCCAGGGAAGTGGTTGAGTCACCATCCCTGGAAGTATTTAAAAGACGTGTAGATGCAGCACTTAGGGATATGGTTTAGAGGGGGCATGGTGGTATTGGGTTGATGGTTGGACTCGATGATCTTAGAGGTCTTTTCCAACCTTAACGATTCTATGATTCTTTCTCCCGGGCCAGGACCTAGAGGACACTGCTGTGCTGGGGCTACAGAGAGCCACTCTCAGGGAAGGCTTGGGTCACAGGTCGAGTTGAGCCAAAGGACCTGCCCTGCAGGGTGTAAAAATCTGACTGGCTGCAGAAGGAGCTGATGGCCTGTTCCTGCCACTGTCCCCTCTGGGTGTGGGGCAGTGCAGCTTTGGGGTGAGGCTGACCCCCATGCCATAGCCAGGGTGGGGCTAAAGAGGAGCTCCAGGAGGAGCAGCCAGCTTGCCCAGGCTGATCCTCATCACCTCATTCTCCTGCCGGGACAACACAGCTTCCCTAGTGCCCCTGCGCCTACCTTCCCTTTTCCATCCCCAATACACCCTGCCCCACTTGGCAGGGTGAGGCCCTTCACAGAGCCCTCTCAAGAACAAGTTAACATGTTTTTTTACAACAACAGAGCTTTTTTTTTTTTAAAAGCAGCAGCTGCACAACGCTTGGCCCTGCCACTCCACAGCAGGGCAGCTGTCATCAGAGGCAGAGCTCCCCAGAGATGGGGACACTTTCTTTTGCCGCTGGCAAATCTTCTACAGGACCAAGCAGAGAGTGTTGCCAGTCAGCTCCGCTGCAGTATCCTGGGCGCCATGGGCTTGGTGCAGGTGGCACGAGCACATGTGCCTGATGGCAGGGGCACTGCAGTGCTGCTGCAAGGATGGGCTGTACTGGCTGAGCGTCCCTTCTGAGCTGGAGGGTGTTAATGTGGGAGGTGGCACAGCCATCTGGGCTGGTATTCCCTGTGGGAGTCCAAAACAAGGCCATTGCCCTTGCAAGTCTGTGCTCCTGGGGATGTCCTGGGATCATTCCCCCCAGCGTGGGGAGCTCTTGGAGCTGCCAGAGCACTGCCTCCTTTAGGACCACCACCTTTGCCCTTCATGGCCTGCTTCAGCCCCACAGGGCTTGGATGCTGCAGCCCGCTCCATGCTGGTGGTCCCCTCCAGAGGGACTGCAGAGGTCAGGTGGTAGAAGCTGCCATCCGCGGTTCTGGCCTGTGCCTTGCAGCAGCCCCAATGGCCTTATAGGGCTCCTGGGGCTGGTGCCACAAAGCCTCCATGGAGGGTCCACACGTGAGCTCCTCAACAGAGCTCAGGCCTCAGGTCTGTAGCAGGGAACACTGTGACGAAGCCTGGGGCGACCACAGTGGACGCTTGCCCTGCCAAGGCCTTCGCCACCCTCCGGGGTGTCCTGAGGGCTGCACCCGTGGTGGTCATGTCCATCTCGTCGCTAGAGCTGGACGTGCTGGGCAGGGGGCTGGCCTCCAGGGATGCCTGGCCGCCACCCTCCCCGAGCACGGGGTCGTAGAAGGGGACAGGCGCCGGGCGGGAGCTCGGTGTCGTGGGGGCCCCCGGGCAGGTGAGGGATGCCCCAAGCTGCTGGAGCGTGTCCTGGTCTGGCTGGATGAGGTGCTTTAGTTTCAGCAAGGGGGGAGAGGCGCTGCATGGCCCCAGGGGCCCGGCCCCTGCCCGCCCCACTTTGGGCTGTGACCCATGCAGCGTTTCCGTGGACTGCTGCACTGCCACGGGGAGCCTCTGCAGCTTTATCTCCAGGCATTTTCTTGCTGTATGCATCCAGAGTTTGCCGCGCACCTCCAGGCTCAGCTCCAGCCTTGAGAAGACGACAGGCGCTGCAGCACGGGGCCGGCTCCTGTCCTCGGTGTCGGCCTGGCCCCCGCCCCGGGTGGTGAAGTCGCTCTGACGGCCGACTTCTTCCTTTGGCAGGACGGAAGCTGATCCTGCCGCTGGTCCTGCTTCTGGTCCTGCTGCCCCGTTGTCCAGGCTGGGAAGGGCTGGGGGGGCCATGGCTAAGCCGAAAGGCCACAGGCACTCCTCGTCGGGTGGCGGCAGGTCCCTGTCCAGGCGAAGGAGGCTCTCGCTCACCACGTTCCCCAGCGTTGGTGGTTGGCTGGCTGGCTCCTCCTCAGAGCCGTGCGGGCTGTGCGGCTCCTGCCGTCCCTCCCCGGGGTACTCCACCGCGCTGGCCTGTCCCAGGGCCCGGGGCCCCCACACGCTGTGCTCCTGGGGGAGCTGCAGGTCCGGGGGAGCCAGCAGCGGTGGAGGGCACAGCGCCAGCAGAGGCAGGGGCTCCTTGGTGGGGTTGGGGTCCCCCCCCACCCTACGGACTTCCTTCTCTTTGATGTTGTCCGCAATGGCGTTTGCCTTCGTGCACAGCCCGCGCCGTGGCAAGGGTTGGCTCTGCCCTGGCGGGATGACCTTCGGCAGGACACGGCAGCCCTGCTGCTGTGCCGCTCGCTGCTGGGACAGCTGCACCGGCACGGGCAGGGTCTCCAGCTGCTTTTCCAGTGCTTTCCTGGCCTGGTCCATCATCAGGGCCAAAGAGACTCTGCCGACACGCGCGGGTCCGAGGGAGCGGGTAGAGCTCGTCTCCAGGGGGGCTCCTGCGTCTCGAGTCAGGCACATCTCTCTCAGGCTCTCGGGGGGACCGAGGCTCTCAGAGGAGCCGGAGGAGCTGCAGTTGTGGCAGGACAGCTGGCCCTGCTCCACCAGCTCCTCCAGGTCCTGCCACGCCGCCCGCCAGGTGCCAGCATCCAGTGTGGCTGAGGCCCCGGTCCCAGCCCATGCTGACAGCACCAGCTGCTGCAGCTCCTGGGCAGCCTTGATGCAGTGGGTGCAGCTGGGGCTGCAGCGCCAGGGCCCGCACAGGGGACCCGCAGGACCACCTGCAAACCAGGGAGGGGTTGCCCGAGCTGTGGAGCAGCGGGGACACTGGGATCACCCAGGGACAGCCCAGCCGGGCTGCTCCGCACCGGGGCTAGGCTGCTCTGAGAGGCCCTGGCCTGGCCTGGGGACGCACCTGCGCAGCCCCAGGGGGACCCACAGGGGACTTACATGGCTCTGGTGCCACCGCTCGCCGCCTCCGTCTCCAGCGCCGCCGCCTCCGGCCGTCACCCTGCGGGCACAGGAGCGTGGCACGGTCACCCACCTGGGGCCAGCCCGTGCCAGCGCTGGCCCCAAGCGGCCCCCCTGGCCCCGAGCAGCCCTGTACCTGTGGGCAGTGGGCGATGGCGAGCAGGATGGCCCCAGCAACCAGGAACAGGATGCCGAGGCTGAGAAGAAAGCTGCCGTCGCTCATGGTGCAGGCTCCGCTATGGCCACGCTGTGGGATGGTGGCACGTGTCTTATAACGCTGCTGCTGCGAGGTCACAGCCCTGAGAGTGGGGACACCTCAGTGACGTCACAGCCCCACGTCACCCCAGCGCTCCCCTCTGCTGCGGGTGCCGCCCGGCAGTGCAGCCACCCAGCACAGGAGCCTTGCAGAGCCCCGAGTGGTTCCCGGGCAAAGCGCTGGACGGCTTCAGTTGCACGTGCTCTTCCTGACCATCTCCAGCGTGTCCCATG